AATTGAATTAAAAGAAGGTTAGAAAGAGTTGGAGGCAGTGAAAAAATAAGCTAAAAACAGCAACTCTATGAACTCAAATGGACATTAAATTAATTTTTGCATTTTCTCGCTCAAAACTTCCCAGTCGGCCTTAAAACCCATTTTTTCTGAGCTCTTAAAGCGATAGGCCTTTCGCCTCGACCCCTTTTTTGTATGGCGCGCTGTCTGCAGTGGTTTTTTTTTTGCATCCGTTTGTTAGAAAAAAACACCGTCTCGTCTGCATCCAAATTGCAGAGCTTTTGAATGGTCTGCCAATACAACTTCCAAAGATAAGGTCCTGTCTAAATATGTTCATTCGTCACATTTTCCCGTGTGGGAAAAAGCGATAAGGATAAGTGGACAGCTCAACACAATTTATATTAATATGTATTTCTAAAAAATCGGATTTTTTCTCAGAGTAAAAACAAAGGAGAATTACTTATAACAAGCTCCGAGGCTAGAGCAAATATATAATTGCTAAATCTAGCTTCAAAAAGTGTAACCTGGTCACACTGGTTATAACAAACAATGTATCCATATTATTTTATGAAAGTGTGAATTCTTTTGAATAATCGGATTTGTTTCGTTCGTAGAATGGAATGACTTGATGTCAATCAATCACTAGGATGGGCATTCTTAAGTACTTTTGTTTTCAAAGTACCAGTTTGGATACTAAATACCCAAATAGTCCGGTCCAAGTTATTGAAGAAGTCGTAAAACTTCTCCAAACGAATGAATCTGGATTGTCCACAGTGTTCTATTTGGAAAAAGGGACAAAGTATGATTTCTTCGGTTATTAAACTATGGGAATGTAACCTGCTTTGATAGCACGACGCCATGTCTATATTTGGGATATCCGCAAAACTAATATGGCTATATAGAGTGACTGTTATTAAATAAGAAAAGTCGACATATTAATATTGCATTGGCTTTATTCAACAGGGTATTAATTTTCCCTTGCATTATTTTATGCGTAGCGTGCACTTTATGCCTTTTAGTGTTTTCTTATAGC